ATTCAACATATAAGCATATAGTAATTACTAAGATAGCTTATTACTGGGTTCACTTTATTGTGTATACTTGAGATTAGAATTACTACCTACTTACACAAATTTCCATTTTCTTTCCACAAAAGTTTCCATTTTTACATTGTCTACTGCTCTGTTTATATTTTTATGTCTTATTAAGAATGTATGCCAAAAGTATGCAATTGCTATATTGTATATACAGTTTTGTCACATGAATCCGACAACTCATTGCTTGCTGTCTCTAAGCGAGTTTCTTAGCACCTAACTGATAATCCATAAACAGAAACAACAATCTCCTCTATTTGCAAAACACAATAAATTGTATGTCCTCAGAAGAAAGAAATTCTAGATAACAAAATAATAAGAGTGCTCTTAAACTTTTCGATGTCTCTGTTGAATGAAAACTGAATGATTCTTCGTTGTGGAGATAACTATTATCTCTTCAAAATGCCCTTTGTTGGACAATATATCCATCTATCCATTATATAATAATTCATAATTCTGTTTTTCAAAGAATTGCTTTCTTGTAAATTTGCTTTCCCGTCTCTATGGCAGGGCTGGGGAGATAGTTTGATGGTCTAAGCACCTGCCTAGCAAGCACAAGGACCCAGGTCCAATACCCAGTACCACATGCTGTGCTGGTCCCTGAAACCAGGTGTGTTGGCACATGCCTATAATCCCAGCACTGGGGAGACTGAGATAGGAGGATCACTACGAGACTGAGCTGCATAGTGAGACCCTGTACCAAATCAAATATATAATTCTCCATGGTACATGGTCCATTATAATCTTTGAAAAACTTTTCTTAATATTGTATTTAAAATGTCAATAAATATTTTCTAAATGACTGAATAATATAAGTGAGTGATGTGGCTTTCACAGTCGTTCTTTTAGGTAAACAGAGAGATATTGTATAACCCATAATGGTTATGATTCGTATACATTAAGCATCCCATTTTTCACTATCTCATGCTGTCCTGTATCCTACCTATGAGATGGGTGGCGGTCTTCCCAGTTTTTGCTAAAGAAATGAAGCTTTGATTTTTTTTTTTTTTTTTCAGAATCGGGGATCGAACTCAGGCCCTTGCACTTGCCAGTGAAATGCTTATTCCACTGAGCCATCTCCCCGGCCCCTTAAAGAAGTGAAGTTTTAAAAGGAGACATAGCAAGTGGCAAACTTTGATTACAAAATAGATTTTCTAACTTGAGATGTGAAATAATACAGAATACCTGCTTTTTCTAAACAAAAACATGATTCATTTGAGAATGGCAGAAAACACACTATGTATGCTAGAGCTTCAAATCATGGGAGAAGGACTGATGAAGAATTCATAGAATGAAGCAAAAGCAAGGCATCTGAATTACTGTTTACTTCTCTCAACGACAAAATAGATGCATAATGATTGGATTGTTTCTGGTAGAAGATGGATTTTTATATTTTGTTTATAGAGGTCATGTATTATGACAGGCATTTTAATTAGTGGATAGATAATAGATATTGGTCAGCTTTCTGTTGCTAGGTCTAAATGCATGTCACTTGCAATTTAAAGGAGGAATGGTTTATTTTAACTAAAGGCACTCAGCAGACAATGGAAATGGCCACAGACCAGTGGGAAACAACCAGAAGTGTGCTTTACTAATTGTGTAGGAATTCAACTTTTTTTTAAAAAAATGTATAAATTTATGTATTTATTGTCTGCACATATTTGTAATTCATACATTTTGTAATTCATAAAATCATTTTGGGAGTGGTTACATTTACATACTATAGCTAGTTTTTTTTTTAATCCACTTTCCTTGCCTCTCCCTTCCCCATCCCCCACAGATTCCTCTATTCCCCTTTTCTACTTACTGATATTATTTGGCATAGCATGTTTTGTGGTATAAAGTATTTGCATTAATTAGAGTTATTAGGTTTTTGTATACAGCAAATCTTAATCTTATTTTCTCTTGCACTCCTCCTCACCCCTTGCCCTTGCTCCCTTGGACTGCTTCCCTATTCCAAGAGACCCATCCCCTTGTCCCTTTCTGTCCATCCTGTTTCATTTTGTTTGTACTTTTCCCCACTAAAATGAGATATGCCATATAGTACTTAAGCTCTTGTGTCTGGTTTATTTCACTCAACATGGTATTTTCCAGATACATTCATTTTCATACAGATGCCTCAAATTTGTCATTTTGTATAGCTGGGTGTGAAGGGTATCACTAGACAGATCAGACTCAGTGATTCTGCTGTTTTCAGTTTCCCAAGCACTAGGATTACAGGCCCATGCCACCACACCTAGTCTCTTTCACAATCTCAGCATACCCTGGAAGTGGGGCCAGCATGGCACACCAGGGATTGAACCCCAGTCCCTGCACTTGCCTAATCAGGTGTTTTAATCCATTGAGCTATCTAGCTGGCCCCATCCAGGAGTTTTTTTATTTAATTTTTTGGGTACTTTTATATAAAGGATTGTATCATCTGCAAATAAGGATAATTTGACCTCTGCTTTCCTATACTCCTCCCTTTTCTTTATATCTAATTTTTCTGGCTTAAGCTTCAAGTACCAAATTTAACAGGAACAGTGATAGTAGACATAGTCTTCTTCCTATATTTAGAGGAATTTTTAGTTTGTCACCATTTAATTTAATGTAGACAATAGATTCGTTATAAATAGCTCTTATCAAATTGAGATAAGGTCCTTCAGTATCTATTTTATTCAAGGTATTTTTATCACAAATAGATGTTGAATTTTATCAAAGGCTATTTATGTGTCCATTGAGGTAATCATGTGATACTTTCCTTCTATTTATTTATGTGATATATTACAGCTATTGATTTGTATGTATCTGATTTCTACTGATATACCCTGGGAGTGGCTTAGGGTAGTCTTTTTTCTCTGTGCAGTATATTACCACTTTTGTTAACCTGGGGAGGGAAGAGTGTAGTGTAATTGAACTGGTACTAATTTATCTGGAAATTAACCACAGTATTGTTGATAGCATAAAGACAAACCAGATGTTAGCATACGGTAAAAACCAGTTCATAGTGACAACTCTGCCACCCTGGCAATAGTGATGAAACTACCAACAGTGGTGAAGTCAAAGACAAACTGGATATTGACATACTGTAAGAACTGCTGAACTTAGCAATAGAAAAAATTCTGTAGTTAGATATAAAGACAAACCAGGTATTGATATATAGTATCTACTAACTGCAATAACTCTATTATCATTAACAATAGAGAAGAACTGAACAGTAATAGGATAGAGTCAACTTAATATTCAAAGATTAATAAAACTTAATAATAATATTAGTAAAGATGGAGGAACAGTGAAGGGGAAAAGAAAAATTTAAAAAATAAAAATAAAGAAAATGAGGAGAAAAAAATCAGATAAATGGTACTATTAAGGAGTAAAAGAATTAATAGAATTAGATAAAAGAATAAAGTAAAAGAAAAACTGAAGAAAAAAGAACCCAAAGAAAAGAGGAAAAAACCTTAAAACAAAGGAATGAGTTCAGGAAAATTCCTTTATATTTTTGAATGAGTGGTTTCTTTCCAGTCTTTCTTTCCCTGATGATATGAGTGTGTAGTGGGTCACTACCAAGACCTGTTTTGTTTCCACATTCCTATTGTTATGTATGAAACCTGAATCCTGCCCTTCCTCTCCTATTGGGCATGACCAGGCAGGTGTTCACTCTGCGGTTGTATTCACTCCAGCCACTCCTAACTTCCCTGACCGTCTCTGCATCACAAGTTATGACTTTCATTGTCTAACTTTGTCACCTACAGATCTGTGAGATATCCTCCTTGCAGCAGAAGCACCTGTGTTCATATACTCAAGACTGTGGCAACCATCCAAGATTGGGAAAGCAAGTGCATTATGGGGTTCTTTGTTGGATGTAGGCAGCAGGACAGGTTGATCAAGTAGTCTGGTGGACTGAAGGCAAGCACTTTCAGACCCAGCTCCCCTTTGAAAACCACATAAAATCAACCTGTCTTTTAATCAAAGACAGCAGGACTCTCACACACTTCCCAGTGTAAGCTTAAGCTCCTCAGGAGTCTGTGTCTACTCTGTACTTTCTTCAGAACTGTACATGGTGTGCATTTCTCACCCAGACTCTGTGTGGGTGGCATAGGAGGTGATAGCTAACTGATTTGTCAACTTGAATAAGAAACATTCTTCTCAGACTGGGCATGGTGGCCCAGTTCCATTGGCTCAGCATTGTGGGTGTGGGAGACCCACTCAGGAGGACTGTGGCCAGCATGGTATAGAAGGAAAATGAAGAAGGAAGTCTTGCTTATGCTTCTCTGGAGGAGTGCTAGTCCTTGCCTTCACCTTAGACATTGTCCCCTTGTTTTCAGTATGGACCCTTCAGCATCCATCGCAGGCCCTTTGGCCTCTGATGCAGTTTTGATGGGGCACTGTACTGTGCTGAAAACTTACAGCTGGTTTCTTTGGATCTCCAGTGTGCAGACAGATCTTTTGCACTTTTGCCCAATTGACTCTTTGAGCAGCCATTGTAAGGCAGTCTTCTAAATTCTTATATATTTGTATACCTTGCATTTAATTTGTTTCTCTAGTGGGCATTAAATGATACATAGGGCTATCTACAGCCTATGATGCAGAGTGATCTCAGAAAGCTATAGAGTCTTTTTTTTTTTCTGTAGTTCTTCTGTACAGTCTTCAACAGTTAATCCCTTCCTAAAATCCATAAGTTACTTTCAGAGTAAAACCCATGCCATTTTTTTCAGGTTACAATAAGTATGTGCTTTTCTGGGGGCTAGAACTTCCTGTCCAGTCTATTGTTTTTCTTTTCCTGGAGCGGTTGACTCTCTCTAGATTTACTTTATATTAGCAGAGAAAGGTTCTCCTCTCCAGGAGTGAGGGTTAGCTTTGAAGAATCCTCCATTCTTGTCTCTGTGTTGTTCTCATTTTCTTCAGCTTCTCTGTAGTTTCTAGTTTTCCTCTCAGGTCCTTCCCATTTCTTTTCTTTACTAAGAAATATGGAACATTATACCATTTTGTATGTCATCTTTTCACAGGGGTTGTGCTGATCTTTTTCTGTATCATTATGATTTTAGTATATGTGCTGCTGAAGGGAGCACTTGTTAGGCGTTTCTT